GTTTTACCGCTTGATATACATTCGTGCGAGGTTGGGGGCGGAGGGATGAAAAAATGTGAATTGCTAACTAGCGTAGATCAATACATTTTCAATGGGACAACGTTTCAAGACAGAGCAGTGGAGGGAGTGGAACCAACAATAGTTTGTCTGGAGGTGAGTAAGTATTCCGCACTATATGTCCACAAATAATTAACCAACTTTTCAGTATCTCTTATTCCAAGAAGTGACCGGACGTGCATACTTGACCCCAAGATAAGCAATGATAAATGAGTGTTCGGGAACATGTGAGCATTGTTCCCAATATAGGGTTGTTGAATATTGTCGCTATACGGTAGACCATAGATCTCGGAGTCACGTGATATTAAACCTACATATTGATCTCATCTCATCTCAACCATAAAACAATATTGAAACTCAACCAGAATTGATATGTTGTCACAAAGGGACTAACGCCAATTCGTATTGCACACGACGCGACTTACTACACCGAGAAGGAATGGAATCGTTCATCTTTGGCACATCAACAGGTCTTGACAAACCGTGAGCCTGAAGAGGCTGGTTGACAGGATAACTTATCACTTGCGTAAGTTGTGCACTGTGATTTTCTTAAAAATGAGCTATTAAATAGAACCCCAGGTGGCTGAAGTCTATCCAATGACATTCATTTGATTACATTGATCCACATCGCACATTGTTTGCTTCAAGCAGCCCAAAGTAAGAAACTATCCCATCTTCCAGCGTTTGATGCGGACGAGAGAGAAAACTTGGGTTCACCAAACCTAGGATTTCTGGCTCATGGACTGCAGTTAAAAAACGACGCGGAAGTGCAAGAGCACTGGAACGGTTGAGCAAATCGCCGTGTGGGATTCGCATTCCTTTCCCACTGTGAGTTGCACGCATTTCCGGCGAACGGGTTACAAAGAGAATGGATGCACTAATAAAACAAAGGGGAAGAACATATGCTTTCGGGGAATTCCTTTTCAAGCCCTTACAATTACTCTCATGTAATAACAATTTTAGTTGGGTCAAACGGAAAGCTGGATGAGTTATGTGTTCGCTAATGAGCCGAAATAACTCAAACTGATATGCTGTTTGGATTACCTAACCAAAATGACCTCGAAGACTCCATTAGTGATATAATGCATAGCATCACATGAGCGTATTCCCTCATCCTGGAGTGAATCACTGATTGTTCCCATTTTTAAGAAGGGCTCTCGCAACGACTGCGCAAACCACCGTGGAATACGTTTGATCCCAATCGTCACCAAGTTACTAGCCTCCATCATACTTCGACATCTGACACCGTTCAGGGAGACAAATATTCAAGAACAATCAGGATTTCGACCAGGTTGCGGTTCCATCGATCGAATCTTCATTCTGCGTCAAGTCCTCGACCACCGTCGACCAACGATGGTCGTGTTCCGTGACCTAAAAGGAGCCTTCGACTCAGTTGATCGTGAATCCCTTATGGGTTCGCTCCTTCGCAAAGGAATACCGCAGAAGTACGTGAACAAACTGAGTTCACTTTACTCACATACTTCTGGTGGCGTCTACGGCGAGATGAGTTGGTCGTTCGTAACTAGCAGCGGTGTTCGTCAATGGTGCCCTCTTTCGCCATTCCTGCTCAATTTCTTCATAGACGAAATACTGGAGAACACATTAAGTGGTCTCCAAAATTTAGGTATTGGATGGGCAATTGGAGAAAAGCTGTGTGATTTGGAGTACGCTGACGACATTGTTTGCTTGTTCGAATGTATGGAAGATGCACAAAGAGCGCTTGAAAGATTAGCAAGTTTTGTCGCACCGTTCGATATATGCTTTGCACCTTCAAAGTGCAAAGTGATGCTACAAGTTCTGCTCTGAAACTAGACGATCAGGAATTAGCTGAAGTTGACTGCTTCTCATACTTAAGTAGTTGCGTGATCAATGACAGTAGCGCATCAAAGAAGATAACCGCCCGCATTTCCAAGGTTTGAGCGGCGTATGCAGGACTGAAACACCTATGGCGACGAAGTGATGTTTCATTAAAGTTGAAAAGTCGCATATACTGCGCCACGGTACGATCAGTTTTGCTTGATGGTTGTGAGGCCTTGAAGTCGCGGATAGAAGACATCCGTAGTCTAGAGATTTTCGACAATCAATGCTTACGTAGTCTGGCCCAAGTGGGACGGAGTGAGCAAGTTAGTAACCTAGAAGTAAGTCGTCCGGTGTTTGGGAATGCATCGAACAAGAACTCGCTATCGCACCGAATCCAGCTCAATAGCCCCCGTTGGTTAGGACACATTTTGCATACGTCCGACGGTTGCCTACCGCAGCGCGCCTTATTTGCGGTGACTGTTGCAGGCTGGAGAAACCCACGTGGAGGCCAGCAGACGAGGCATGCAGAAATGCACAGAGCGATTAGGTAGAGTAGGTGTCTCTCGTCTTCCGGGTTGGGGTCCAAAAGACTCCGAAACCGCATGGTTGGAGACATCGAAGGTCATGGCTGCGAACCGACAGCAATGGAGATCTTGCTATCACTTCTTATCAAACCAGAATGCTTGAAATAGTATGTGTGCACAGTTTGACTGTGTACTCCATGGAGGTTTGCTTTCTTTTCCCCGTCCCTAAAAGTAGGTCAAATCCCTGTCCTCCTTACACATTATCACTTACCTTGTATACAATATGAGTTTGGTAGCGACCAGTGAAGTCCGCTTCGCTGTATTGCGCTGTAAAATGATGAATGATAGTGACGATGTGTTCCTGTTCATTAGTCATATTTTATGATTTTGATGTATTCTCACGGCTAATTATGTGCGATCACAACTCAACTCCACATCACTTTCAGTCCTCCTGCTTCCTAACCGGGACGGTCACACTAAAACAGAAAATTTTCGAACACTTTCCGATTTTTAACTTTTTCAGCAATAAGAAAATCTAGGAAGTCATCATTATTCCAACTAAAGTCCCCAAAGACAACCATCACCACCGGCATTTACGTAACTCTTCACCCCCTCCAGTGCACAAACACGCACGCGTGCTGGACAAATACACACACGCACAGGGCGATCGTGGCCATCTGGATAACCCACAATCAGCCAGCGAGTGACCTGTATTGAGGATAACACGGACAAAGTCGTGAGTGCGACAAAAACAGCCGATCTGCCCGGTAGGTTGACGCAACAACATCTGGTCTGCGCAACGAGGAGCACAAATGTGGTGGGTGTGTGCTGGCGAGATGATGTAACAGGGTGGATGGACAGACAGAGAGAGAGAGAGAAGCCACCAGACCAGACATAGAGCTTGTAATAAGGCCATGGTTACCGTATTCGGAACCGCTGAAAGGACCAATAGCGATGTCCAGGGTTCATGAAATGAATCAACCTCATCATCTAAATATGAACCTAGTCAGATGCGTAGCGAATTATTTCACTGGAATCAACTGATACCAAGATAATAGTCCTTTTAAGTTATTCTTATCGCATGTGCAACCAGTTGGAAAAAAGTAACGATATTTAATACTAGTTGGTCATAGAGAGAAGGAATATACTGGTTGGGAGTAGTAGTAGCACTTTTCAATAATTGGCTGAGATCCGTTGGATTGGTTACTAAAACCTGAGCTCGGAAGGATACCAATCGCCGCGAATCGGATAGATTTCGATTAAATGGGCTACAATTGCGAATCTTTCCGACCAAATTATGCGATAGATACTTGACAGTAGAACAATAACACACGTTTTGTTGTTGCCAACAAACAACCGATTGTGATCCAACTCAGTATCGCCCGTTGTGTTAAGAAGCTTGTATTGAAATCGGTCAAACTGTCTCCAATTATCGAAATGGGCAGCTATAACAAATTAAGATAACCAAAACTTGCTGTCCAAATGAGCTAACACCTGCGGTACCCAGGGAACGTGTGGACATACTTTCAGTTCTACTAGAATCTAGAATCTTCAACCACTGTCTAACAAGTGGAAAAACTCTTGACATTTGGAGACCAGCCTCAAAATGAAAGATAATCTCCAGTCATCAGTCACGCTCAAATTTTTTGAGAGATCCAAGGGCGATCAAGGAATCTGCCGAAGACGACACACATCACTTTGCCAATCGCTCTTCGGGCCCAACACTTGGGGCCGTTGCTGACTTTGTGTATTACCCTCCCTCAACCGGTTGTATGGTTCCACAGTCATTTTCATAGTCTTTAGAAGACTTTCACTAACATACGCAATCGATAAAATATATCTTTCAAGGCAATGACATTACAATCACACTTGCGCACACTTTCATGTGAAAATTCGATTTCCCTAGTCGTCTCAGAGATTGATTATCTGTTAAACAAAGAAATTTAAAATTTTTTATCTACATCAACCACACGCTCAAAGTTCAGACCTTTATTTGATCGTAATTCTGCATATGGTAACTCTGTTTTTCGTACGTATCTGCTTGTTGAACCGGAGAAAAGCTGTCCACGAAACCATGGATCTGTTATCCTGGCTACTGTAATGGTACTGTGCCTAAGCTTTCATATGTTTTGTTAGCAGATACAAAGAAAACGCTTAAATATTCGCCTACCAGGGTGCATAAAGTTACTGCTAACTTGACCAGACCAGACTGGACTGTTTCAACTTGACTCCCCGGATTTCGCAACCCCCGGTTATTTCCTCATTGCAATGCAGTATCAAGATCCATCGCCAAGTCTTCCAAAACATCTCACAGAAGTTCTCAAAATCAAACGGAGTACAAGCTTGAAACTTACAACATGGTTAAAATAAGTGATAAGTGACTAGTATGACATAAGCCACTGGCACTTCCTGGGACAAAGTTCCCCGACCCTGAACGCAAATAAGATTGCAACCATTTGGCATCAGGAAGAAGACACAAACATCAAACACTTGATATTGGTTTCCAAAACTTTCCTACCCGAAGGAATCACGATTTTCGTTGAGTGAAACGGAACTGGACCAATGCGGATTTGTGGTTNGGGGGGGGGGGTGTGGCGGGAAAGAGAACATGCCGAAAAATTAGAACAGAAACCGTGCACAACATTCAGCCGGAGATAGGGGTGCACTCACACTGGTGGCCAGTCGGCATTCGGACACACGTTCATTGTACATGGATGTGGCCGCCTTGCGAGCGTGCACACCGGAGTGCGCGATCACAAACACGACATCCAGTGGTAGGGGTACCGGGTGTACAGTGATCAACGGTTTGGTGAACTCGATCATGATGGCCTGCCAAGGGAGAGAGAGAGAGAGAAACGAGTACAACAGATAGAACCAACCACGAGACGACTACGTGTTGGAAAGAGACCGAGATTAGGAGAAAATCTTTGAGACGGGACGGGAGCGGGACACGTGTCCGGAAGTCAAATACCACGAAGTATAGTACAACAATCCACTAACATGTCACTCTTCTGGCGAGATAGTTTGAATTCATCACGTGTACAGAAAATAAGCCATTGTGTCATCGTATTAACAACAATTCACGTTGATGTACTATTTTCATCGCATGTATCTCCGATTCAGTTGAAAAATTGCCCACCTAAGATAGCGAAAAACATCAGAATCTAACAGGCGAGCGACAGCAAAACTATCAATCAACGACATCTGCTAGTGTTCACCATTTTACAGGGGATCCAGTTCCGTCTACTTCTTTCTCTCTATCGGTAACGAGACCATTCGGACCGGTGCGTATAGATAATAGTGCTATCTATGTTCGGAAACTAGACACATTCACGAATCGGTAGATATGAACCATAAGACAACGCAACAATTAACCTATCAAACAACACAGTTTTTGATATGTTTATTGAAACGCAATGCACGGCGTCAATACCGTTCTACGTTCCTCTAAAATATTCACTAAAAACCGCAATCACATCAAAAGCCGCCCACTCTTAAAACAAACGCACTATATTTGGTCCGTGGTCTAACCGAGTGAACCATACTTCAGTATCCATTCTGAATAGGAATAACACCTAGAATGTAATCGAAAGTACTGCATTGGAGTCAATCAGGCGTCAACCGAGAATAGGGAAGAGAAATCTAACAACGCACATCAACATAGTTCAGTTGTACCGTGTATCGTGCACATGACCCGGCGAGGAGAGAGCGAATCACATCGAACTGCAATTCATTTTTCACTCCTGAATTTCGTTTTTTCAAGGAAAAGTTCAAATCCGTCCGAGTGTCGGCGGTATCCGAACAAAGTTTCAAACAAAACACAGCCGTCGGATGTAGTTATATGTTTGATCAATCAGGCGCCTGTAAGCTATTCCACCCAAATGAACAAGATGTGTGATGTTTCCTTTCAAGTTTGGACAGTTGAAATGCAGCCGAACGGGAGAGGGTGGTATGCGTGGTGGAAATAAGATGACACATTGTTTGCAATTAAACAATGAAAAATGATTGTGATCAGAAGTTAGTTAGGATCCAATAGGAAGAATGCTTTAAATTTCCCAGAATTCATCCAGACCCACACACATACACACACACACACACACCAAGAACAACAACGCGTTAGCTACATGCAAGTCTGCAACCGAATGTGAAACGGAAAAGTACACAGACAATCGGAGGTCACAAATAAATGTGACAGATTGCGAACTCGGTGTTTCAAAGGAAAGGCGAGTGGGATAATAAAATGTGTCGAATGAAGACAAGCAAGCACGTACACACACAGACATACACCCGTGCGCGCACACACAGGGAGACGAAAACCCGGAAGACACATACTCACACTGTTACGACGTCCGAGAAGACTGGTGGCCTGATCCATACCGCCTCCTTGCATTCCGATATACTGTTCGCAACGAGCACATAGGCCGGCCAATTCACGCTGAAACAAATGCACAGAACTATATGTAGATAGTCGATGTTGGGCGCGTGCGCGTGCGAGAGAGACTCATCGATGACAAAACTAGCCAACCGCGTCCTCGGTGCTGGGAAAAAACTGAATCGAGAGGATTTCGCAACATCTTCCACAACAGGAAGACTAAAATTCACTTGATCGACACAGAATCGAAAAACACTCACCAGTAAGGAGGGCGGAAGGAAAGCCAAAACCTGATCCAAAAGGCAGTGGTGCTGTGTGTGTGAAACTCGTTTAACAAAAGGGACGGGACACTCAACTGAACGGTCAGCTGCCATCGGTCACATGCCTGGAAAGCGACATGGTTTCGAACGTTTGCAAATCATGAACCTTTCTTCTTTTTATAGATTATTGTTCCACGATTTGTTTGGCACACAGTTTGAACTCAGACGTATGTGAAACTATGTGCGTGTTTCATAAAGACTTAACCAAACAAACTTGAGAAGGGATTCAGCGAAAACGTACGTCTGCCTACACCGTGTGTCCTAACTCAACCATTTACAGCGCCTGGTAGCTTTAAAATTTTTACTGTGCCATTAAGAGACAAGCATCCTTCATCCCCTAGATTATCGTTGGAAAAAGAGTCTGTATCGTTGGGTTCTGTGGTGGTTCCACGATTTAGTCTGACTGGACGGCTCTAACCTGAACAAGCGTAAATCAATGCTTTGATTCAGTAACCCAATNNNTCATAGTTTTCTGTGTTATGCTTCTCAACAAGACACCATGGTAGCCCTTTTAAGCATAAACAGGATGGTTTTTACAACAATGAACAAAACCTAACCACCCATCGATGAACCGATTGTCAAAAATAGGAGGTCGGACGAAGAGATTCTATCACAGCAGACTAAAAATCAGAAGAGAACTGACTAAACAAGATGCTTTTGACCGTACTGGAAAAAGAACAACCGAACGCGACAAACATGACGATTGATAATCAGCACAATTTTTGCACATTATGTCCAGTTAATCTATCATTTGGTTTCTGTGTGTCTGCGTGTGTTCGCGAACAGGGACAAGAGTTTGCGAGCAAGTGAACAGGACAGATGTGTGACGGGGTGGGGGTGGGGTGGGATTCGGACAAGGACCATAGCAAGGGTCCTGGCGGCAGAAGACTTACCCGTCCGATGTGCACTCCGGCGGCTTGCATGACCGCGATTGCAGACCCGACAACAAATGCACTGCTACTAGACAAACCGGCAGCTGGCCACAGGCCACCAAATTGTGCTCCACCAACTCGAACGAACAGACCGGGTGGATTCCAGTTCTGTACAAATGAATGAATAATTGAATGAATCGTGTGTCTGTATGTGCGCTTGTATGCAATAGACGTATGAGGTGAGAATAGTCATCAAAACGGAATAGATTCATCCTATCGATAACCATATGGACAAACAAAAATGTTACGAAATCATGAACCCATCAAATAAAGTTGTTTGACAGATTGATTCAAGTCTTATGTTGGAATTGTGAAAAGTTCAGCAGCCTCCTTAGGATTCGAACCCACGTAAATGGCCGCCACTTACCACCTGAGCAAGGAGGCCAAACCGATAGTACTGATATTTTTACATTGGAATCACCTATTCAACTTACGCCAACATTTGGAATCCATCAGGTAGCATTTAAGCTGACTGCCACGACATTGTTTTCCTGGGAATCCACTGAAACCCATCATTTTTAAAGCAAGGTTAATTGTTCAAATTATTTGGATGTAACCTTGTTGTTCGGCTGCTAGGGCGTGCGCGGTCCATGCGCGCGTGGATCAACCAACTATCAAATCAATACTGGTTTATTTTGACTCAGTTAAACCAAGCCACAAAAATATTGAATTGTCTTCGAAGAGACAGCACGGCGAGATCCGATTTCGGAAAAGATATTGATATTATTTGAAAACGTGCCTCTTTGTTCATTTCTAAACAAAATTAAAAACAACTATAACAGATTAGAGTATAAAGCTTGAATTAGCCTATTCAACTGTTCAGAGGCACTAGGCACTCTTGACGCTTAGAGTATGACTATGGATGCATTTGATTTGAACAGTATGAAGCTACCAATATATCGCAAAAAGGCCGTTCGATAAACGCAAGGTGTAGTCCAGCCTCTTGGATTTGCTTAGTTAGAAAACATTAGATGAATCATCAATGGTTTTCGCTTTTACATCGCACCGTGACTGGTATACCACCTTACGGAAAGGGAACAGAACTAGTCATTCATTATTCTCAGTCTCTTTTAAGTTCTACACCCGGGTAAAAGCCGTTATCACTTTAGTATCAGTTTATAGACAATATCCAGATTTCAGATAAGAGGAAACACTCCGTTCAACCAAAAGAAAGATGTGTTACAATCGCATTTTCATCTTTGGGGACCATCATTATTAGTTTGCTCTGCACCGTGGAATGCGCGGGGCACACTCACACTCAACAGAATGGAATCGAATAATTTTTTGAGTGAATCAAAAATCACGAACTATGAACTATGAGAAATACATCAATGCAAGTCCGACGAACTTCATTCAAACTGTGGTCTAAGTAACCGCTCCGGCTTCACCAATTGAGGGTATGTTCACGGTCTGTGGTAATGCATAGCACTACAGCGGCAAGCTTCTCCTCGTGTTTTGAGGAACAAAAACGGTCGAACCGGACAAGACTATTACTGTTCAACACATCTTAGCGTGAGAGGTGTTAAGACGGGATCGTTTAGCACTTCGGTGACACATTGGCCTTGAGTTGAGTAACCACCTGAGAGTCCGGAACAGATGTGTGTGTGTGTGTGTGTGTGTGAATTTTAAACGGGGATAGTCTCCGCAGGATGATACACACAGAGGGGAGAACCCAAATTTTCAATCCGATTCGAATCATGCGACAACCACTTGAGCACGTGAACGATGCGCTTAGCATTGCGTGATCCAGACTTATCTTTTCGTATATTTTTCTTCGCTGACAAAAACAAAAAGTTGAGCATCATTTGCCTTGAATCCATTTTAGCACTATCCGTAGAATGTGTTTATGCATAGGTTTCCATTCTGGTCGTTTACAAGTGGGATTATGTCTATCGCACATCGACTACGTGAGATCGGCATTATAAGAGCCATCGGATTCTCAAGGGTAAATGCGGGGAAGCATGGATCTTTGCGAGCGGGATGCTTTCTCTCCATTCGCGTTACCTTCACTATTATTTCGCTAGGTCAGTTCGCACGGGTACCTGCGCAAGGAGGAGTAACACACATTGTTATCCTCATTTTATAATTAAACAATTCTCGTGGAGTTTACTACAGTCAATCTCCTGCTATGTCACACCCCTCGGGAATTCGAAAAAGTGAGTAAATTCCAGGAACTGCGAAACAGCAGGGTAAACAGTAGTAGATGTTAATAAGCAGTATAAAAATCGGTTGACGGTTCTGTCACAAAATAAACCGGATCGATGAAAAGTAGATTAATCCCGTTAGCTGTTCCCGAAGTTTATAACTATAAACTGTTCATTTATAATTTAGATCTACCGTCCTGCGTATCCGTGATGTATCGAAGAAATTTAAATCTTTTATGACGCCCTCAGCTTAATATCGGTATATTGTATGCGGTATTCAGCCCTTTTTGAATTCGATATATCTATTTATCTTGAAACTACCTACCTTTCTACAAGGGAACTCTTACTGACCCAATTATCTCATATTAATTCCAGATATTCCTCCATTTCGTTGCAATGTTAGGCTAACCACAGAATTGATTATATGACGTCTACCATAATATAAAACTGTTTTAGCTATAATAATCACATCCTCATTAACCTATTCAAGGAAAATAGAGGTGAATCAGTTCGAATACACTGAGAAGGAAATAACATCCAAAATGAATGAAATACCTGTTACGGGGTATACTCATAACATTGACTTCCTTCCGATATTCAAACTGATGGTTCGCTTTGCAATCTATTCATCATTTTCTAGTGAAAGTGTATCATGAGCGTTTGTATACATCTATTCGTCCGCTCGCTTTTGTTGTTCCCAGTGTATGTTCAAACCGATTGATGCATTCATCATGACTGCTGTTGGTCGGATTAAGTTCAATACGTGATGCCATAGCATGATTCATAAACCACACCTTTTTCGATTTAAGGTGTCCGAGTATCAATCTAAGATGTCATTTTGCTATGTGGATAGTACGATAGTTCGATTACTCCACCGTCTTGTATTTTTGTGATGATCTTTTTATCATGTACTTCCATCCTTGTGGTACAGCGGTACAGCCGAAGTTCACTGGGTCTGCTAAAGACTCGAGACTGTAAACTTATCCGATCGATCGTGTGATTTTCGGGAATTACGGCAACTCTCAAGCAATTAACGATTCATAAACTAAAAGTGCATCTCACAAACCGTCCCTAAACCCAGGTTACGATGACCTTTGGAAAGTGACCTGTCCGATTTCATCGGTGCTCTAGGAGAAGTGAGAGTATCGTTCATTCATTCACACAGGCGCGTCCGCGTGACGGTTTTTATCGATCGCTCGGATCTGACACCTCACTCCACTCACCCGCTTACCAGTCTATCGCGAATATGGTTCACCCGTTTGCACGTTAGTGCTACAGGGCCCATTGATAGACCGAATGACCGTGACTTTGGTGACCACTGTAGCAAAAATGACCACATTCGAGTGCCTCACATTTCAGTTCAGCGCACCATAGAATTCCAAAAACACTTCGCAGGTTAGAAAGATGTATTTTTAGTAAAATCATAAATCGCCTTTTGTCTCAACTTGGCTCTCCGTTGGAAATCAACTAACGGTCATCAATAGACACATCATGTGTAAAGTCCTCGATCAGATCGCATTTATGTTCTGGTGGCTGCATCCCCGGCTGAATCAATGTGGATTTGAACACAGCTTTGATGAATGCGTTGATCAGTAAGTGCGCGTGCACATACACTCAGGCTTTCTTGATCAGATACATGGCTATGATATTGTCCACCTCGGCTTTCATGATACGTTGCTCATCTTCGATCAAAGACAAAACATATTCCAGTAAATGTTTCCGAAACAAACATTTGAAAGATCAAATCACGCCCTGATCTATTGGTTGTAATATCGAATAACAGTTCGGAGGCAGCCATACCAAGTTGACATTGGAAAGTACTGCGGCTTGATTATGTAAAGGGGTGTTGTCCATAAGTAGTAAAATAAATTGTCTTTGAGAAACCATTTTGCGGTTGAGATCGGACAGCCAACTGTGAAATAACGTGCGTTCTTTGAAGAATGATAACTGCATGGAAGGCTTTTTCTATCTATACCTCGAAGGCGTCGTGGAGTTTGAAACTTTCTAATCAAAAACGGTGATAACATTTCTCCAGTCACGCTCCCACAAAACGTGACTCTCTATTTGGATTTATTGGACCCAGAAACTGTCTTTCCTTTCAGACTCAATGTTCTTTTTGGGAGCTGCCTGCAATACAAAGGTGTTTCATCTACATTGAAAATATCACAATCAGCATATCCTTGTATCAACTGGGGTAACCCCGCTCGAAACTCGTCCACTGCATTACGTGGTACCGCTGAACTTTCACCACAGATCTATAAAGCGGGGCACATGAGCTGCTTGTTTCTGACTTTGTACAACTGAATACCATATATGTCTGACCAAGAGCGAAACCAACCTTTGGAAGCCTTGAAGTCAGTATGATGCAACCTTTGTGCTAGCTGGATTGCCTTCTTACGTACGATGCTCTCCAACATTGGGAACTCTCTGTGCTTTTCCCTCATAGCGGTAAACCAAGCTAAAGTTGCCTCATTCACTGCCTTGAACTTTTCGTTGGTTTTCAGGTGGCATCTTCCCTCAGATGCTCCAGCGTTCAAAAATTTCCCGAATGTCGTTCGATGGGATACAACATTGTAGATAGTTTTTCGTGAAATTCCAAGTGGCTTGGCCACGGAACTCTGAGTTGCACCTGACTGTTTCAGTATTTCCAACACATTCTGCTTCTCTCTGATCGCTAGCACATTTTGACGTCAAATGACACTGTCTCCGATCACTTGTATCCGTGTGACTTCCTCGCTAGGATTATCCAATCAGTGAACAGTGCCATGAACGCGTCCCACTAGGTGCGACGCCATTGGCTGAGTGCGACATTTCAGGATGGATGGTCTATGGTCGTCACGAACA